AAGTTTCCAGGCAAAGGACCAAGAGGAGGCGCCCAGGCAGCACAGGGTGATGTTTCCTTGAGTTGAGGGGATAGAGCTGTGAGTCCAGGGAGGACAGTATGGCTACAGTTCACAGGATAGAATACTAGAGAGAACACTCCCAACACCTGCAGAGACTCCTCAACTCTTTGGAATATATGTATGTGAGGCTGGGCAAAGAACCACTTGAAAAGATTTAAGGGAACAATCCCAAGACCTCACATAGGGCAGGGACTAGTGCCTGTTCTCATCAGCTAGGGTGAAAACCTGCATAATTTACAGGGCATTGGGTAGAATACCCTGAAGAGTTTTACCTCAGGAGTGAGGAAAAAATTAGCCCTAGGTCAAATGTTGCTCTGGTCCCACCTGACAAAGCTTAAAAGCAAGACTTGAAAGGATCAAACTGTTTCCAGATAACTTATCCCAGAAAATTCAAGAATATTTATAGGAAGACAAAAATATCCTGTATCCAACAGGGCAAAATTCACATCAGGCATCCAATCAAAAATTACCAGACATGTAAAGAACTACTATTTTACTTTTTTAAAAATCATTTTCTTGGGATTTTACTAAATCTTAAATTTTCCTTAAAAAAAAAAACTGTCATTTTTATCATTTACACTCTGTGTGTTAATCTCAAAATCCCTCATCTACATAATTGAAGTGCTAGTCCCTCTATGAAATATTAACACTTTGAAGACAAACAGCATAGCTGGTTAAAAGCACAGCCTTTAGAGGCAGGAAACCCAGGCTCTGAATAAATTCTTTATTCATAACTTATCCCTGTGTTCCTGGGCAAGCCACTGAACCTCTCCTGAGTTTTCGTTCAGTTTTAGTACGACAGTATTTGCTTCATAGGACTTCTGTAAGAAATAAAGTAAATACCTAATAAATAGTAACTATCATGCCATAATTATCACCTTATCACAAGGAAAGTTTAAAAAAGTTAGTACACACTCAAACATTCGCTGAGCAACAAGCAATCATGTGCTAGTTAAGATGCAGGCACTAGGAATACAACGAAGAAAAGGGTACCGTTGAGAGGACCTGAAGTACATCTTATGTTGGATCTGCCTTTAGAAGTTCATCTCAAGTACAAACTTCATATTCTATTTCTTAATTTCTAAGTAGGGCAATTATTTTAAGTCCTCCTATAAAAATTAAAGGTTGATTTTTTTCCCTTTGAAAGGAAAAAATAAGAAATTGTCAGGTTCAACCAATTGGGGCATGTCTAAGAAATCCTGGAATCTGAAAAACATGGTAAAACTTTAACTTAAAAGCAACCTACAATTTAACATCACCTTTCAAAATTATTCTCAAATTAGTAGGCTAAATTGTATTCAGATATAAAATACACAAAATGGACCAATCTGTTATTATGATAATCTTTTCAGAAAGGCTTGGGCTAACAGATGTAAGGAATTAAAACCAAGTTCAAGTTTGTATTTCATTTGCTCATTCCACTTAAATGACAGATGGCTTAAATATTAACCCTATTAACAAGACATCTGCATATTCATTATGAATCTGATTGCCTTACTTCATAAGTCCATGAATTCATTTTATTAATTTTACTGTACGGCTGCCCATTTCATGCAAGGTCTTCAAAACCCTTGCCTCTCCAAGTATGGTCCTAGAACCAGCAGCATCAGCATCACCTGTAAACTTGCTAGAACTATAGAATTTTATTCCGCATACCAGACATACTGAGTCGGAATTTGCATTAAAACAGACTCCACATGTAATTTCTATGCACTATGAAGTCTGAGTAGCATAGTTCTAAACTGTTGATTTTTTTCACACTTTTTTTTTTTACAGTATTATAAAAAGCTTATTTGCTTCCAAACTGTTGATTAACTTATCTCCAGATAGTTATTTTCATAATAATTCAGTTCAGACAAATAAATCAAATAGATAGGTATATTAGATGTTCTATATATAATACTTATATCTCAGACTTGACCTCCCCTCTCAACCAGGATTTCAAGTCTTAGAAGATTTACACTATCCATATTTTCTCGAGTCAACATTTTTGTGGCCACTAGCATGTGGTCACTGTGACAAAATCTCTGTAATTAAGTAACTATATAGAACAATACCAGATCAGTTCTTCCTATAATTTCAGAAAAAAATGAAAAAACTCAAAGTAGTTTAAACCAAGGTTCAGCCTGAAAGTTCCCTAGGGAAAAAACGACCAGAATGACTCTATCTTCCACAATAATATATTTTTATGCTTTACCTAACACATATTTTTTACTGCAGGTACCATATATTTTTAAAATAAGAAATTCACATGGGACTTAGGACAGTTCTTTAGATGGCTCATCTTTTATTATTACTATTGCACAATAGTCACAGTGCACATAAAATAGAACAAATCTTGTTTTCTCTTTCGTTTTTCCAAAAAGAAAAATGACAGACCTAGGCTGAAACTGATCACAGCAGGTAGGATGCTTCAGCACAGATTCAAAGGAAGGTACAAATGTTCAGTTTTCAAAAGCACTGCAAAAGCCAACTTCATATCTTGTCACTGCAGCTGTGGCTTTATGCCAAACATTTGAAAACTGTTGAAAAGTGCCATTCCTCATAAGCAATTATGAAGAGCTTTGCAAAAAGAAGGGGGAAATAACTGTAATAACAATGAACTCCTTACAATAGCCAAATGTCCATGGCCTCTGGGTTGCAGGATAAGAATCTGAGAGTTACCCATATGCATCTGAGCCAATGCACCCAATGCAGATACCTTAGGAGAAACGGTTTGAAGGGGTGGTAAGAGAAGGTATGAAGGAACGTGCTGGGCAGACTCAGAAATTAAATATTCCTCAAACATCCCCAGTTTTTTATAAGACACAATTATAGATCAGACATCCTTCAATTTAACTTCATTCATCCTTTTTTGCGTTTGCAGCCTATATAATTTCTCAGGATACATCATTCTGCAAGAGTACAACTAGGCACTGAACGTCTTTTTTTATGGTTCTAGATATATTGATTTCAAACTTTAAGTAGTCCCCTAGCTCTAACATTCGAGAATTTGGTGAACAATTCATTATGCCCCATCTCTACTCTCATCCACAATCAAGCCTCTCAAAGAATTGTCTAGCCATGGTGGCTCCGCTCCCTCACCCACCAGTCACCCTTCAGCCTACCTCATCTGGCTTCCACTTCACTCCCCTGAAACTTCTCCTGGTAAAGACCGTAAGGACCCTCATGTTGCTAAATCCAATGGACAGCCCTTAGTCATCATTTTTCTCCACTTTGCAGCATCACTCAACAAAGTTCACTGTTCTCTCCCTCTTAAAATAACTTTCTGTAGCTTTGATGGACACGTTTCCTGGGTGCCTCCCCAACTCCCTGTCCCCTGTCAATCTTCTTTAGGGACTCTGTCCCCTCTACATAACCTACAAATGTTGGGCCATCTTGGGACTCAGTCCTGGAATTTCATGTAATCTCAAAACTATAAATTTCACCTTCATGCTGATGACACATTCATCGCCAGCCCACATCTTTCTTCTACACCAGTATACCCAGCTACCTATTCAGCATCTCCACTTGAACGCTTCACAAACACATTTAAACTCAATACATCTGAAACTGAAGCCTTGGATCTTTCTATCACTGTTCCTCCTCCAATGCTTTCCATTCCCCAACCATCTACCCAGTTGCTCCTGCTAGAAGCCCAGAAGTCCTTTCCTCCCATATCCAATCAACCTCCAAGTCCTATCATTTTGGCCTCCAAAATATAGTTTTAATATGCCCAATTTCCCTATTCCTACTGCCATCCTCTCCAAACTACCCCCACTCTAGTCGAAGTCATTATCATCACTTGCCTGAAATAATACCATTCTAAGTGATCTTCCTGAATCTACTCATATTCCCCTTCAACCCTGTCTTCAGACTTCAGCCAGAGTGATCTTTCAAATATGAAAATTCTACTTAAAACCCTTCAGTGGCTTCCAACCGGCTTTAGGATAATGTTCACAAGGCACCTGTCTACCTCTCCAGATAATCTCACCTTATGCTATCACTCTGTTCTCTAAGCACCGGCCTTACTCTTTTTCTCTGTACATTATACATGCTGAGGTTTTCCAGGTGTAGGGCCTTTGCACATGCTGCAAATGCTACCTGAAATATTTGTTCTTTTACTCTTCCACCCTCTGCTACCCAAATCACACTAACATACACATGCACAGGCATAATCCAAAACTTCAGGGTCCACATCCAACAGTCAAACCAGACCAAAAGGAACTGAACGACGAGCAACTCTTGGCATTAAGGTACATACCACCATAACAAAAAATAGTAACAGCAAACCCTTATATAATTTTCCCAGGACTGTTTGAAGTAATTTATATATATTAACTTATTCACTGCTCACAAGAATCCTATGAAGTGGATACTATTATTATCTCTATTTTAAAGTTTAAAAAAGTGCAGAGAGGATCAATAACCCCAGCAAGGTCAGAGAAATTCAGCAGCAAAACAAGTATTCAAATTTAGTCCTTCTGTGTGAGTGCCTGACTGCCCCTAGCATGACAACTTGGTCATGGACTATTCAACCTTCCCTTCCACATAAGGGATGTGGAACTGGTTTAAATAATTATAAAGTTATTTGGTTAAGTACTTGTCCTCCACTAGGCTGAAAACATAAATGAGGGTAGGGACCATTTCTATCTTGTTCACTGACATATCCCCAGCACCCTGAATAAAGCCTAACACATAACTGCTGCTCAATAATCTGTTGAACATAGGACTACTGCCTTGCGTAATTATATTGAGAAAGTATTGGATCCAATTATGACATTATGTATATATTTTCTGTTAGCTGTCGGCTAGGTAGTCCTGTCAGTCCCGTGGTGTCCCCTCCTCCCGCCTGGGTGGCATTCGGAGGACTAGGGCCAGTGTGGCTGCTGGCCTCGGTCTCCCCCCCCCCCCTTCCCGGGGTTGAGCGCCTCCCGGCCTTTCCTGCCCTCAGGCCTCACCTTCCACGTGGGGGAAGAGGCTGTCTCAGCGTCCTGACCAGGCCCTGGAGGCTCTCCGGTGCCCGAGGGCATGAAGCGGCCGTACCGCTGGAGAGGCCACTGAGCCGCGCCTCCTCCCGCGAGCGCGAGGCCTGCCGGCTCTTTTCCCGCCTCCGCCATGTTGGGCCTCAGGACGTGCACAGCAGGTGGCGCTTACCAATCCGCGCAGCTAACCAATCAGGAAGCGAAATGGCCCAAGGCCCACCTTCCCCGCCAGTGGAAGCCAATGGGCGGACTCCGAAGACTCCTGCAGGGGGCTGCTGGGGTTGTGGGCGTCACTCTGGGCCCCGTGCGCCTTCTCCTGTGGTTGGGCAAAGTGCAAAGTGGAGATGGTAGCTTCCACGTGGAAGTGGGGTTGTGGCGCTTGTAGATGGTAGTTGGCCTCAACCTCTGCAGCACTGGGGCCCTCACCTTCCCTCGGGCAGCCCAAGTCACTGTCCAGCCGCTCTGACTGGGACATTTCCGAAAACTGGCTGATTCCCTGTAACTTCTACGCGCTGGGACTAGGCCGGCTTTCCGAGGCTGCGTGGACAAGTGTGTTTCCCCTACAGCAGCCTTTCACATGGCAACGACCCTGCCCACCCCAAACCCATCACAGCACAGCATCAATTCTACCCGCCATTCACGAAGTAAGGCTATTTTCTCCTCATCCTGTGACCCTCTGGACATAACTCCAGACGGTCAAGTTGTTGCCAAAAGAGAGGAGCAATTGGGTGGGATGCTGTCGGCCATAAAAGGTGTGCCCTAGTCAAGCAGCAGGTGCAACTAAATGACAGGTCTGGGTGAATTATAGTCGACAAAGCACTTCTACATCTGTTATTTCATTTGTCCTCCCAACAACCTTGTGAATTAAAGAAGCAAAACAGAGATCACTGCCCCCGTTGAATAGACGGGAGGCAAAATAAGGTCCGGAGGGTAAAAGCGATTTGTCCAAGGTTACACAGCCAGGGTAAAACTGGTCTCCACAATCTCTCCAAGTGTCTGCCACACTCAAGAAGAATTTATGTATTCATTGAGTCTGTGTCAAACCAGAAGCAGAGTATACAGAGGATGGAGACTATGTTAACCAAACACATAAAATAGAGTTATAATGCAAATAATTTTTAAAACTAAATGTCAAAGCATAGTATATGCATAGACAATGGTTAGAGAGGTGGTAGTTTATTCACTCTACAAAGCACTCATTAAATATCCACTGTGTGTAACCATACTGGTCACTATAGGGGTTACAGAAATGGGTAAGGCATGTATCTAACTTTCTAGGACCTCATGCATCTAGCCTTCTAGGATCTTATAAGGAAAACAATGAGAAGTACCCATGATACCTGATAGTTACTGCACATAAAAGGTACAGGTGTGCTCTAAGGATTCAGATGAAGAGTGGCACTTCACTTCTGTGAAGTGCCCAAGCTCTGCTTCTATTCAGAGCACTGAACAGCCCCTAAGGAGAGGGAATTTTACTTGGTAGGTGATAAGGAACATGGAAAATGTGTGTAAGAGAGTGACACTGTTATAATGGTGGTCTAGGGAGGCTAATCTTTCAGGGGCATACAGAATAAAACTGCATTCAAGGCAGAGGATATATGTTACTTATCTTTCTATTTCAGATTTCAGAAACTGCTTCTGAAGGTCCTTAAATGACACAGCACTACTGCATTTAATATAGTAGTAAATAGTTAGAAACTTGGTGTGAGTCCCAGTCCTGCCACTTGCCAGCCATGTGACCTTGGGGAAGTCACTTAACCTCTCTATAAAATAGGGTTAGCAAATGCCCATCTTAAAGGGCCAGAAGAAGGATAAAATAAGATCATATGAGGGAAAACCCTTGGTAAATTACAAAGCGGTACACATGTTGGTGCTTTCTATTCACAGGGTTAAAGTGATTTTCTATGGGCTCCCTGTAGGCAGGAGGATGGGAATGGGAGCCTGACATTCAGTCTCAGAGGCGCTCACCTTCCAGGTCCAGGGCTGTGGATGCTGTCAGACACCCTTCACAGGAGCAGATGGTGTTCACAGTTGGGACCCTGTCAGTGCCCAAGGACACCCAGGGCCCTGCTGGGGTGCAAGCTCCCTTCCTAGACAATGCACCTGTGCTTGAGCTTCTGGGGCCACCAGCGTCTGCCAAGAACAGTTCATGTCTGCAAAGGGAGATATGAGAAAGCCATAGCACAGAGCACAGAGGCTCTTAAAAACTTATGATATTAACAAATGTGATGTGAGCATTCAAAAAGTCCCAGATGCTGTACTTGGTGCTGCGGATATAGTAGAGATCAAGCCAGGTACAGCTTCTACCCTCCTGAAGCTTACAGTCTAGCAGAGGGTGGAGAGAGTGGGGAAGAGGGTGCAGAACACTGAGCAAATTACTCCATATTTTTAATGGTCATTGTATTTTCTTTTTTAAAGATAAATCTATAATATGTATCAAGGTACAATTTTATACAATAAAAGCACAGATATTACAAGCAAGTTTTGACACGTCTGTACACTCATATAATCACCATCCAAGACAAGATATAAAACATTCCCGAAAGCCCCAAGTTTTCTTAGGC